CGTGACCAGATCCTCAGCCCCATGCATCCAAATCTGTATGTTATTCACACGGTGATTTTTCTTTATAAATGCTTTTTCACAAATTCTGCGTATGAGCCCTGAAGCAGTTAGAGTTGGTGCTGTAACAACAAAGGCAACTCCATTTGGGAAAAGACTCACATAAGTTCCTAGTATGGAGGCCCGCACAAACCTTCACCCCGGGACAAGGACTGTCCACTCTCCCCTGAGGAATGTGCTCTGTTATCAGCCCCTGGTAAATGCTGACACCGGGAAACCTCACTCCATCTGCCCTTTCACCAGGACTGGGCCAGTTATAAAACCATGACCCGCTGGTGGTTATCATTGTCTTAAACTGACTGTCCTTTGCATGGCTGAGCAAGCAAGATGCTTCATAGAGAGTCCATGACACAAGGAAGAGGGCACAGGCCTGGTTCTCACCTGCTGTGATATGAACATTGACGTGTGGGTTTGAAGGTTGAGTGTGAGTGTCCCCTAGGCACCAGGCCCCGGGGGTGGATGCTGAGACCACAGGGAGACATGTGTTTCTAATCTAACACACTCTCCAGCGTGCCACACACAAGTCCTTCTGCAAGAGCAACTGGGAGTAGAGGGGCCCAGAGCCCACGTCGAGTGAGCCAGAGCCCTCTGGAAGGGTGCGTGGGGGGGCCCTGGGCACCAGTCTTGTTCTGTTTTTTTGATCTATGTGTTCAGTGTGTGAAAATCCATTGAGCCGCACACACGATCTATGCCCTTCTCTGCAGTGTATCATTCTTCAATAAAACAAACAAACTAACAAAACAAAAAACCAAACTCCCCTAAGGGTCTCAGGACTCACTGAGTGCTTGGATGGCAACAGGGAGAAGAGTTTAGCTCCCTGGCCATGCAGAGAAATGAAGCAAGTCTGTGCCTCAGAGCTGTGTCCATACTGTGGATAGTCAAGGCTGCTGCCAGAGAGTGTGAGGGTACTCCCAACGTTGTCTTCCCCTTGATGGTAGACCCCTTTGGTCCCTTTACTTCTCCTGGCCCTCAGATGCACCCTGGGGTCCTGGGCCCCCTTGCCTTTCCTGTTGCTTCCCCAACCTTACCCACCTAGTCTCCTCTTCTTCTCATTCTCTAAAGGTTCCTCTGGGTCCATTTCCTCCCCCACATAAGACCCCACGAATCAGCAGGGGCAGAGAGCCCGCTTCTCTAAACACAGACTCACTTTACAGCCCATGTCTCAGAGCCTCTTTCTCAGCCACCAGGACCAAACCGTCCCTCCTCCTTCTCCCAACTCTAAAGCCAACAGGCACTGCTGGGGTCTCTTCTTCACTCAGCTCCTCTGAAACCCACCTTCTCTGACCTTCAGTTCTCTCACAACCTTCAAACCCACACGTCAATGTTCATATCACAGCAGGTGAGAGCCAGGCCTGTGGCCTCTTCCTTGTGTCATGGACTCTCTATGAAGCATCTTGCTTGCTCAGCCATGCAAAGGACAGTCAGTTTAAGACAATGATAACCACCAGCGGGTCATGGTTTTATAACTGGCCCAGTCCTGGTGAAAGGGCAGATGGAGTGAGGTTTCCCGGTGTCAGCATTTACCAGGGGCTGATAACAGAGCACATGCTGTTGGTTCTCGTCACTTGCTGTAGTCATGCTCTGCAATGCCGCCACAAACACTGACTGAGCAGACACTGAACCATTGCTGCTGGAGAAGCACAGGGTGCGGTTCTTGCAAGCCTCTGGTCACATTTTCATCAGCTGATAGATAACATCACCTGACTGTACTGCACATGTCTGCAAATGACCAAGAAGCCAGGACTATCGATTTAGGGGTTCCAAAGACATTTTAGCAAGCAGGCAAATTCTCAAATACAGAATTCACAAACAATGAAGACCAACTGCTTGTTGAATGAGTAAAGGAGCGAATGGTGATGAGTTTAATTTGGAGCTGGAACCAGGACACAGCCCCTTCACGTATCATTACAAACAGGAGCTCGCTCTGTGAAAAGTCAGCACGTAACTTGCCAAGGTACTGTGGTGACATCACATGGCCTGGCATTGGACAGAACTGAGTAAGAGAGGCTACAGTTTCTGCCAGCATGTGTTGATCAGGAGCTATCTGTGTAAACCAAGACTGACAATAGATCAATAAATACTTTAAAAAAAAACCCCACAACTTTCATTCAGGAAATATGACATAAACGCTCAGCATGGGTGAGGCCTCCAACCCCCACCCCAACTATCCCCTTGGGTGTCTGTCTACACACCTCATTGGCTCTGTGTAAACCAGGGCAGAAGACCTGGATGGGAGACAGAGACAGAGAGTCTCTGTTGTAGAATCCCCAAGGGACCTTTCTGGCTTCAGCTGTTTGTGACAAGCGTGGGTGATGCTCCCACTTTTGGTCAGAAATCTTGGATAGCACACTCAGGCCTCTCCTTCCCCTGAGAATGTCTTCAGGGGCTGGAATAAGCTGCTGAAATGTGTTTTTAGGATGACAGCATGACAGAAATAGATTTGGAGAACTGGGCCAAAGTATTAATGCAGTGCTGCTGGCCGTGGACCTATGGGGACTTTTTCTCCTATATGTGTCTTTCTGTCCCCTGAATTTTATAAATAAGGGAGTCATTTCATGAAAGGAGAAAGATTCATAATATTTCCTCCTCAAAAATGGTAGCATATACCAAATTTTTTTAAGAGGCATGAGAATCCTGCTGCCCTGCTGTATGTTAGCTTAGGGCAGAGTATCTGCTTTATGTTCTCAACCAAAGGGCAAGAAACCACGGTAGTTGACACTGCACAACTTGTGCCTCTCACTCAGAAGACCCTGTTCTTGACAACTGCCAGCTTCTAGACTCATAGCTGTGTCTTGCCTGTAGACCACTGTAGAGTACCACCCTCATCCCATTCGCCTGTTACTACAGGAGTTTTTGTGAATGCAAGAAGTAGTACATTAAGGTTGAATTTTAATAGGCACGTGTGCGTGCGCGCACACACACACACACACACACACAAACCACCACCAATCAGTAAGTCAAAATGAAGCAATAAGAGGCATCTCTCACAGAGGGGGGTTGAGTATCTCTAGAAATGGCTTCATATAAAGATTTTCTGAATGGCTAATTTTAGGCCTTCCTGAATACAAATGACTTGGTTAAAATTGCATTTTGAGGCAGAAAGAGGAGAACAAGGAAGTGTTTTCAACTTCTTAATCTAATGCCACATCTACATTATCCTGGAATTAATGACCTTTTAAACATGTTTAATTTCAGAATCTATTTTATGATGGAAACTTGACTTTGAACTTTTTGAAGGAAGAATTTGTTTATTTTTTCACCTGAGTGTTTAACACAATTCTTACCCATAGGAAACAGTGAATGGATGGATGGGTAGGTGCATGGGCGGGCGAATGGATGGATGGATGAATGGACAGACGGACAGATAGATGGGTGGATAGGCGGGAGTAGAAAGGCTGGGCTCTGGCTAAGAATAGAAAGTAGGGCTGGATTATACATTTGGAAGCAATCTGAGTCAATGTGAGTGTTGAAATCAGGAGCAGGACAGAGAACATTTAGAAAAGAAGAGATAAAGGCTGAAGGTTGGGAACAAGGAGCAATTCCCAGGTTTAGGAGGAAGAACTGAGCAAAGATCTGGAGAGGGAACACCCAGGGGGACAGGCCTCCTAAGACAGGTTATGTGGCCCTATCAGAGCTGGAAGGAGTAAAGCAAGTTGAGAACGGGGAAAGACATCGGGGTTTATGGTGGGCCAGATAGTGCAGTATTCGTGTCGTGGCAGCATCAGAACTACCTAAGGAAACACAGGCCAAGGCCACAGGAATTGATGGTGGAGGGGAACAGAGGACCGGAGCTTCAAGGGATGGCGAGGCTCAGAGGAGACATTTTTCCTTGAGCTATGGGAAAGCCAAGCATTTTGCAAAGCAGCAAGAATGTCAGTGGCCAGGGAGAGCCTGAAGAGGCAGGAAGGGCCAGGGATGAGTCAAAGAGGTGGCCAGGACTCCCAAGGGACAGTGGAGTGAAGGCCTCAAGAGAAGAGCAAGAACCAGTCCCAGCTGCCCCAGCCAAGAGAGGTCAGTGTACAAAACCCAAGGCCCTTCTCAACTCTGACAAAGAGCGAGGTTCACAGGGCAATGGGCAGTGGCTCCTGTCCCTTGTCCCACCTTGGCGACCAGGAGACCGAGATAAAAGAACTCCAGGTTGAACTGGAGGTGAAAACAAGAGCAAATAGTATAATATCTTATACACATTAGAGCAAGGAATAGCATACGTCAACCACAAAGAATGATGTCGCTAAGTCATCTTGACATCTGCTGTGACACAGGCACTGCCTTCACCCTCAACTCCTGTGGCCTCGGCCTGTGACCCCCTCAGCTAATTCTGACACCGCCACAACACGAGGTACACAGTGTGGGAGGGAAATGAGAGAGGGTCAGGGATTGGGCCTATAGAGATGAACTCTGTCTTTGTGAAGTGGAGGCAAACATTCAGAGGGGCGGCTGGAAGAGACATTTGGATCTAGTGTGCTTTTGAGAGAAAGTACTTCAAACCTGTGAGAAGCCACTTATTTCATCTGGTTAAAAAACGTAAGCTCGCTTCTTTTTTCTGTTGACGGTTCTGAATTCTCATCATAGCAAATATGAAAATACAGAAGAGTTGAAAAGTAAGGGATTGGGGATGAACCACAGTTTTACCACTTAAAGAAAAGCACGATGATTACGGAAGGAAATTCAACAAAACGTTATGGTTCTAAAGGCACCATTTCTCTTTTCTCTAGAACGTTCGGGAAAACACCTGTGGATAGTTTGGCTAGTTTCCACAAAGGAAAGGGGTGCTTACAATTTTCAAAAGAGAATAATAATGTGTTTACAACTTCTAAACAAATCAGGAACTTGGCAGTACGTACTGGTCCATTCTTTTTTCTCATCTTAGAAAGTACCCTATAGGAGGAAGTTGGCTCTAAAATGTGTGGATTGTTCTGACAGCCTTGTGTCTCCACTTACAGAGAAGTGTCTGCCTCCCTCAGCAACAGGGCCTGGAGCCGAGGGCCAGCCTGGGCCACCCTGGATCACCATCACTCGGCAGAAGCTGCGGGGGGCCCTGGAGCAGCCACCTGACCGGGAGGACAAGCCTGGAGCCCAGACACTGAAGTCTGAAACTGGGAAACAAGCCAGGGCGCCTGAGAGAGCCCAGGTGGTTATGGCAAACATTCCCTGTCTCTGTAGATACATGAGAGAACAGTCAGCAGGGCTGAGGACTAGGACTTTTTGAGGACAGTGCATGTTGCACCATCATGGTCACTGCAGAGCTGGTGGCCTGGGATGGTGGCTGCTGTCTGCCCTTGGCATGTGCCGGGCTGTCAGGGAAGCTGGTGGACCAGTTAGGCGTGGAGACAGCTCTCTGCCCCGTGCCTCCTAGGCAATGCAGCATCTGGAGAAATGGAACAGGGTTAAAATAACTTCTAGGTTGGACGCGGGCAGCCATGCTTGTTACGTGGTGATGGACCAGCCCTGCTTTTGCTGCTGTGCTGGCGTCCTGCCAGGGTTCCTTACTCCCCATCAAGGGCTGCAGGGCTGGAACCTGGGGTTCCATTTTGTACTCTGCACCAAAAACAACTGTCTCAAACCCAAACAACTGTCGTTAGGAGCAGACCAACACTTGTGGTGTTTATGTTCCCGACAGCTGCCACATTGAGTCCATAGAGTGTTACAGCCATGTAGGGAGGTGAGCCTGAGCCCACAGTGGGACCTGCCCTTCATGTTCGCACACACCTCAGTCGTCTCCATGTCTGAAGACCTGCATGCAGGCTTAGGGAGTTGATGAAACAAATAGTAACCAGTGGTCTGGTTTGGGGCATCCGTGAGCGTGCCAAGTGTCATAAAAAAATCTCAAATCTATTTCCAAACATGATTGATTCTGACTTTCAAGTGGACTTCCTGCTGTCCAGCATCTGGGTCTGAGGCCAGGGGTGGGGACAGGGCTGAAGCCAGGACGCCTGTGTGTGCCCACGAGAAGGCCCTTGCTACCTGAATTCCTGAAGAACGGCTCCCCTGGGGAGGCACCAGCAGCACGGTCCCTGTTGGCAGACAGACCTCGTGGCTTATTGCTTCAGATTCTGTTTGTTGTCATCTGAATCTCGGGTGACCAGACAGCGTGTATCTTTCTTGTGTCCTAATAGGAGCCTATGAAGCAAGCCGACTTTGTCCGCAGCAAGTCTTTCCTGATAGCCCCGGCTAAGCCCACCATGATCAGGAGGCAGGGGACAAAGCCCCGCCTCCAGGAGGGACTGCAAAGAGGGATCTCCTTGTCCCACCAGAACTTGGGTATGAAACCAGCAGTTGGTCCCAAATACTCTATGAAATACGTTTCCATAATGGGTCTTGCAAGTTTGGTTTGGTTTTCTTTTCATTCTTTTTTTTTTTTTCTGCATTACTTGCCCAATCGATTTTTTAAAACAGCTTTTATTGAAATATCATTTCCAGTCCATAAAACTCACCCATTTTAAGTATACAATTCGGTGAGTACTGATTGACAATGAGTATATATTTATGGAGTTGTACAGCCATCACAATCCAATTTTAGAACCTTTCCTTTACCCTTAAAAAGCAACTTCACGCCCATTTACAGTCACTCATTATTCCCCAACCCAGCTCTAGGCAACCACAAATCTACTTTGTCTTCCTATATTTACCTTTTGTATACATTTCTTATAATTGGAATCATAAAATATATGTCTGTTAGTGTCTGGCTTCTTTCACTGAGTACGTTTTTAGATTCTGTCATAGTATGTGTCAGTATTTTTAAATTTTTTAATTGTGGTAAAATACGCGTAACAAACTTTCCACCTTAACCATTTTTAAGTGTGCAGTGCAGTAGTGTTAAGAAAGTCCACGCTTGTACAACCAGTCTTCAGAGTTCTGCAGTTTTATTCTGGAAGTTTCTCTCTCCTGACTGCACTGCTGGCACTGTTTGAGACTGCATGTCAGTCTTTTTTATCACATAAGTTATTCTGTACCTAAATCTTCTCTACGTTTTTGCACGTTAAGGATTTTATGTTGGAGGCCACGGTTAAGAGACCTTGATGCATATTTTGAAAGAAATACAAGAAGCTTAAGTGAAAATCCAAACTCGTCGCTCAGATTTTTGTTTATTTTGTCCTCTTTCCAGCAGCTCAGTCTTCAGTGATGACGGAGAAAGAATTGCATCAGCTGAAGAGAGCCAGTTATGCCAGCTCAGATCAGCCATCCTGGATGGAACTTGCCAGAAAGAAATCTCAAGCTTGGAGTGACATGCCCCAAATTATAAAATAGGTTGAAAGTGTGCTGATAAAAAATGTCCACCACCTTGTTGGGTCACTTAGTGAAAAATGGTCACTAAAAGCAAACAAACTGTGAAACTCTAGAGTGATTTTATCATCAGGTTATGAGAGGGCGAGCTCAGAGAGGAAGGAATCAGGTAAACAAGGAAGACAGACACACACAGCCACAGTCCTGGGCCAGAGGTGCCCGTAAACACCACCATTAAAAAGGGCGGGGAATGAAGCCCTGCGCCCAAAGGTATGAATGTGAGTCTTTCAGAATTCCTTTGATCAAAGGAGGTTGGATAAGGCAGAAAATGGAAATGAAAGGTGGATGTATAACTAGGCCGTGGCTGTAAGGTCCAGGAGAATGTGGGTTCATGTCCCCACTTGAGATCAACTTGTGTCTCTAGTCGCACTGTCTTTCCTGTGGACCCTGCTTTCTCCTCTCATGTTTACTACTGGGCATGACATTTATGGTAAACGGGGATGCTGTTTCCAAGAGCAGCTATAAAACAGTTTTCTGTGAAGGAGTGGAAAGAACACAGCAGTGTGCATCGTTCATAGACTGTTTCCAAAAATAATTTTTAAACTTTTCCACTAGGCGTCTGTGTCCTTAACCATTGCACAATGCATTGCCTGTTCAATAAAAGGTTTCAAACATGCTTCTGTCATATGTGTAAATGTTATTTCTACTAATATTTAGAGCACAGCTTCCAGCACTGAGTTAAACACAAAGTATGGATCTCATTTAAGACATCTCATTTAAAACCTCGATTGGATTGATTTTGGAGTTCGGGTTTTTCTTAGGTTCCCCTCGCACCCAATAAAATTTTGGTGTTTATTTTTGGCAATCAAAAAATAATGTAGGGGGTTTTTCTCTCCTCATCTATCTGGTACAATACATTAGAAATATGAAGTTTCCCAAAATGTTGCAATTCTTTAGCATCTATTTAATCTAATCTGCACATTCATATTGAAACTAGGTTTGCAGTGTGTTAGCCAGGATGACCCATGAATGCAGAGTGTGGAGAAGCCAGCAGAGGCAGAGCATATATTTTGGGATCTCCAAATCATGTCTCAGTTATATAATAACTTTATTTTTAAAAACATTTCCAATTTGTTCCTTCGAACAAGCTAATCTCCATGGGAATATGCATATAGGTGGGGACATTTAGCTGTCAGAATCAGTAAGACCTCATGTATGTTATAATTTAATTTTACATACCCTAAGTTCTGCTACTTTTATTGTATTTTCCACCTTCATGAATAAGAACTTTCCTAGCTATTAGAACTACACCACTTGATCAGTTTTACCTTTATTGAAAACATCCTGGGATCATTTTCTTTTTTCCAAACAAATTGATTTATTAATTGCACTGTCTTAGAGAACATCAATACTGAATACCAGACTGAATGTGCTCTAAGCAAGAAATCCATCCATCCAACCTTGATCTAAAAGCTTAGCCATGAATAGATTTAGGAAAAATTTATACCCCAAACCATCATTTCTCCCTAAGAGTGCAGTGACTGTCTCACAGGAGAGATGTTAAGAAGAAGAAAACACAGCAAATATAGGTACCCCTGTAATTTTAAGGAAAAAGCAATTGGCAACAGGGATTCTAGATTAGCATCTGTTTTAAATGGATGACTGAGGAAGAAAAAAATAGAAAGGCAGCAATCTTTATATTGGATTCTAAGAGAAACAATAGGGAAATATTTCTATGGCAGCTGCAGTGGTTTCAAAATATGTCCACATGTTCTTGGACAACCCTCCCTTCAAAAACTGGAACCTAATTCACCTTCCCCGAGTGTGAGACAGACTTATCACTCACTCCTAACTCCAGAGTGTAGCGGAAGTGGCCATGTGACTTCTGAAGAGAGATAATGAAAGAGGTTGCTACCTTCAGCCTGCACTTTTTGACCTGCCCTCTCTGAGAGAAGTCGGTCACAATGTCTTTAGGATGCTCGAGCAGCCTGTGAAAAGCACTGAGCACTGACACCTCTATTATGGCTGAATTGTGCTCTGACCCCAAAATTCATCTGTTAAAGTCCCGACCTCCAGCATTTCAGAATGTGGCTGTATTTGAAGACAGGACCTTTGAAGAGGTAATTAAGTTAAATGAAATCATTAGAGTGAGCCCTAATCCAATATGATGGTGTTCCTATGAAAAGAAATTTGACACAGACACACACAGAGGGGAAACCATGTGACGACACAAGCAGAAGACGGCCATCTACAAGCCAAGAAAAGAAGAAGCCAACCCTGCCAACACCTTGACCTCAGGCTTCCAGCATCCAGAACCAGGAGACGATACACTTCTGTGTTTAAGCCCCTCGTCTGTGGTCCTTTGTTATGGCAGCCCACACAGACTAATGCACCTCCTATCAGTCACCAGCATCAACCTGCCAGACATGTGAAAGCTGCTTAGGCTTGGCTCCTCCAGCCCCCATCAAACCTTTGGATGACAGCAGCCCAACTGACACATTGACTGTGACCTCATAAGAGATCACAAGCCACAGTGCCCAGCCAGGCTGCTCCCAAATCCTGACCCACTGAAACTGTTAGGTAACAAATATTTGTTATTGTTTTAAGCCATTAAGTTTTGGTGTCATTTGTCACTTAGCAACAAGTACCTAATTCTGCAGTTTCATGTTCTTTTATTAGGTCCTAAAGTGAAAAGTTTCTATTTGTTTTTAAGTTAATATTTTACCTGAGATTAAAAACTAACCATACATGCAATATGAGAGAATTTTAGGTGTTCCGTCTTCGGTTATGTGGCAGAGATAACTAAGGTCATACACCAAGGATCTGTAGTCCCCTCGCATAGCATGGAGTTGTTTCTGGAAACAGATGTCTAGCCAGAGACTACCTCTCTGGCTGCATTGTCTCCCACTCAATTCGCACACCTGCCTATGTGTGGGACCCTGTCCCTGAGTTCTGGCTGATGGACTGTGAGCATCCTACATACAAAGCCCTATTTTCTAGAGAGGCCAAGGGGAGGCAGGAGAGTTAGCTTCAGATGTTTGAAGAAGGGAGAAGGAATTAACTTATCCTGTGTAACTAAGGAACAAACCAGGACCAGAAATGAAAGTCCTGGAGAAGGATGAAGACATGCTTGCCCTTTTAGAGTTACTTGCATGGGAAAAGCTGCCCGGTCAGGAGTGAGCTCCCCAACACTCACGGTGAGCAAGCTGAAGGAGGGTAGATAACCACCCTCTGAGATGTCCAACACATCTCGGCCCTAGAAAGAGTCTGGACTGGGTGGCCAGCCCAAACCCGAGCCGCTCTGTATCTATAAGGCAGGGCCTTTTCCATTCGTTTTGTAATGTAATTACATTGCATTGCTCTTAATACTAATTATTACCAAGAAGTACCATCCAGAAAACGATCCAAATGGGCTTTTATGCAGAATGCGGTTGTTCAGAGTGCTTTGAAAGCTTTTCATTACCAGGAGAAGAAAGCCAGGCAGAAGCAGCCTGCCAGCAGATGGGCCAACAGCCCTCTGTATAGATGCATGTGATGGGGGAGGGGTACAGATCTGCTTTACCCCACCCCCAATCTTCTGTTCAGTTCTATTGAACTCCCAGGTAGAGGGAAATATCGATTTATTTCCTGGTAGATGAAAATAATCCCTAGTGAATAGGCTTCTTAGGACCAAATAGCAGAAATAATGTAGACTGAACACCCGCATTTGGGTAGTAGCACAGGTGCTCAGGCAGCAGCTGACATTTGCTTTACATGCGTTGTCTAGCTTCTTTCCTGCCTTCTCCATAGGGAACTTCTCCTCGTTGGCATGGAAATAAAGGAGAGATGTGTTTGTGGGACCCAGAAGATTATCGCCAGCAGGCAGGCTGTGTGTTGGGTGTGCTCTGGGAGTCTGCTGCTCAGCTATTCCTGCGAGCACCAGAAATGTTTGCAGAGAGGCCAGAGGCCTCCAGGCTCGCACACCTCTGCTGCTACATTGGCAGAAAAGCAAGAACTCAACATTTGGTCCACTCTCCAGTGAAGAACAAGTTGCCTCTGAAAGATTCCCCATAGGAATAAAAATTCCGGTATTAAACTTAGGAAAATGTGAAATTATTCCTGAGACAGGGGACATTAGTGGCAAATTGCTGGGGAGTCCTCTAGACAAAATAAATCCAATCTTTCAGAAGCTGAAAGCTTTGCATTCAGATGCTCCACCTTTCTTCCCAAGGGAAGAAAATGATGTTATCAGAGCCACCCTGCCCTCATCTACCATGTGGTCTGTAAGGATCAGGCACGCCCACCAGGGAGCTGCCCAAGCTCCAGGAGGCCCAAGCAAGAGGCAGAAATGACCCTGCTGAAGGCAAGGCAGCCCTCAAACTGCCCCTTCCTCTTGGAGTGCTGTCCACTGGTGACGCCAAGATGCCCTAGGGCACAAGAACTTTACAGAGGATGTGGGGAGAGGCACTAAATTAATTGTGGCCAAGTTGGGAGCCAGTGGCAGGAACCAGACGTGTCCTGTGTCGCCTGGAGAACTTGGACACCTCTGCACTGGTTGTAGCAGGTTTCTGGAACTCTTCTATTTTTGATCTCTTCCCACTGGATGCTGGGCTTGCAAGATGTTGTAGGCTTAACTGTGTTCAACCCGCCCCCCAATTCATATGTTAATTCCTAACCCCCAGCACCTCAGAATGTGACTGTATTATAAGACAGAGCTTTTAAAGCAGTAATTAAGTTAAATGAAGTCACTAGGGTGGGCCCTTATCCTATGACTGGTGTCCTAATGAGAACAGAGGAGGACACAGACACACACAGAAGACCATGTGATGACACAGCAAGAAGACGGCCATCTACAAGCCAAGGAGAGAGGCCTCAGGAGAAACCAACCCTGCTGATACCTTGATCTTGGACTTCTAGCCTCCATAATCATGAGAAAATAGGTTTCTGCTGTTTAAGCCAGCCAGAATGTGGTGATCTACTATGGCAGGTGCTTTGTTAAGGTTGCAGGCTCTGTTGGCAAGGCTCCCTCAGCCACGGCAGTGCCA